CTATCCATCCATTCATCCATCCATCCATCCATCCATCTATCTATCTATCTACTGGGCGCGTGCAGAGATGATAAACTGCACCTCTCATACAAAGTAAGGCAAACGAAGCAAAAAAACAAAACAAAAAAATAAACAAGTGAGGTAAACGTTTCTAATATGATCAACCTTTTAAACTTAAGCCTCTGTGCAGGAAAAGTTGTAGCACTTTAACTCAACGGTCACCGCAGCATGTGAAGAGTCTGCACTCTGCAGCACTTAGTGGCCATTTAAATGGACTGCTGAGAAGAGATCAGCTGAGTGCTGGTGAGGAATATGTGAGGAGATGACACTTTACATCCCCATAAAAAGCCACAGTGCCCTGCACTTGACTGAAAAATCAATGGAAATCATCAATTGACGGGGTTTCCAGTAGAACTGATTAAGGGTAAATAACTCCACAGTAGGCAGCTTTAAATGAGGACATGGAAGTTCTGCCACTTCCACCCCTGGATCATTAAATGTAGGCATCATGTGTTGTAAAGCAGTAAACACACAGCTCCTGTGGTAACACAACAGACTGCAGTTCCCAAACTTTTTTTACACCAGACTATTGTCAAGTCCTTCAACATCAATACACTTCAAAAGTTTATTTTCTGAACTGTGTGAAACATTGAAAAAAATATTGAAATAGATTTGCTTCACTGTTTCTGCCCCAATGTCTCCAGGCCACTAAAAGGGCCCGTCCCCTACTTGGGAACCACTGAATTTAAACACCAATGAAACAAAATAAAACTTGTATTTACAACATCAGGGTCATCTTTCTGTGTGTTTTCTACTTTACATCAGCTTTAGTGTGTGTTATGGTGAAGTGTGTATGTGAAGAGTGTCAGGTAGATCCTGTGAGATGATATGATGCATAAGAAGCCAGAGTTAGCCACAGTCAGGGCACCTGTCTGACTCATACCCAGCAATAATGCTCGTCTGTTGTTGATTTTTCTAAATAAGCTCTGAAATGTAGTTCGCCAAGTTCAACACCACTCAAAATTGGACCAAACTGAGATTTAAATGTGGAATTCCTGCCACTCCTCTTCAGCAGTGGTGTAAGTTTACATGTCTCACAGAGAGGTCCTGTGCCACACAGGTATAGGTTGTCAGTTGAAAAGAGAACGAGAACCAGGCCCAAACTGCAGCTACAGTCTGTGGCGGCAGAATCTCCAGACAGTCTGGGATCAGACTCTGACCCTCTGAGAATAAAGATCATCCAATCATTAGGTTGGTTTTATATATATAAATATATATATATATATATATATATATAAGAAAAACTCAAAACCCTATATTTGGATATAAAAAATGTAATCATGTGTGGTTTAAATATTTCATGAGGTCTTCATCCAGATGGCTTTACAAATGTCAGTCGTCCACATTGGTTGGGATCACACTGCCTAATCAGTGCCAACTGTGAAGTCTGTCTCTGTGCTATGGAATTCCCAGACTGGGACTGTGTGTGTGTGTCTTTACACATGAGCTGTGTTGCCAAGGAAACTCTCACTGATGGTTAGAATTGTTGACTTATTTCCTGATCAAATGGAGAACAGAAAAAAACACCTTATTGTTGATGGAGATTTTAACATGCACATCAACCACAAAAGATGAATACTGTATATATACTGTATTTAAATTGTGTAAAATGTGTGTGAAAAAATATACAAAATTAAAATATTAGGATAAGTCAAAAAATGCTGAGACATATTTTTATTTCCCCATGAATAACACTGCAATTTTCTTTTTTTTTTTTTTACAAATCCTCCATTTAGGTCTAAAGATTTATTCCCAACAGAGAATTCCTTGTTTGTAGAATTCCAATATTTTTCACCAGGTCACAACCTGCTTCTTCACTCTGTTTTTCACCTTCAGCTTGTGCCTTTTGTTAAGGGTCACCATCCATCCATTCTTATCCACTTATCTGTTACCGGGACACGGGGGCAGCAGTCTCCACCCAAATCACATTGCACCGTACCTAAACCTTCCTGTGGGTGGTGAGTCCACTGGAAGGTACCAACCGCCCTAACTGGGATTCAAACTTGCCCAGGAGGTGAACCCTGGGGTTCCACACCAATGACACAGACACTGCCTGGGCCAAAGCGCCACGGGGTCATCATTGTGAGATTCATTCTTTTTCAGGCCTTATATTTAAGTTTTGTTCGAAATTTGGTGTTTGATCTGATTTTAACATTTTCTCCTTTATATCGGTTAAAAAAAAAATCAAATACAAAATATTATAGAATATTGCAGTTTTATTTGCTTGTTAGGGAGTGTATGGCATTTTGTGGAAATGTGTTTGGCTTTATGTGATTTAGTCATGAACAGAATATTTATATCCACACAAACCCGCAGAAAACAAATGTTTTTAAAAAGTAACTGCTTGCTTTATTAAATATTCTGTACACTACCAAACCAGAGTGAACAGGAAGGTTTGCATATCCAATTCCATAATTCTAAGCAGCTGAGCTGTAAACATTTTTTTTTTTCATCTTGAGCATTTGCACGACAGAAGACACGTTTATAGACATTTTAATTATTTTTTTTAAAACACAAAACATAAAAAAAATAAATTCAGTTACAGGTTTTGATTATAGTACGTATATAAGTCGGTGGTGAAGCAAGGGTTTGTGAATGGACACATATGGCATCACAGGCTGAAACAATCCCTTCACATCTCCGATTCCTTCAAAACAGCTGCACTGCAGCCTTCAGCATTAATCCTCTGCCATGGACTTTTTTCTATGCTGCAGGACACGTGGTCATCAACTGCAGTAAGATGCAGCCAAAAAGGAGATGTAATAGAAGAAGTGCTGAGGCGTGGCAGGAATCTGTGGTACAACACTGCGGTAAGAGGCAAATCCATCTAGTCCAAATTTTCATCCAACTCAGTCTTCTATGCATTCAAGGGCTTGTACCACAATTAATTCTTCCCCATCACGTGGTAGTACATTAGTGATCACAAATGGAAAAGAGGGGAGCAGGATTCTGGTAAAAGTACACTGCTCAAAAAAATAAAGGTAACACTTAAACAACACAATTCAACTCCAAGTCAACCACACTTCTGTGAAATCGAACTGTCAACTTAGGAAGCAACACTGATTGACAATCAATTTCACATGCTGTTGTGCAAATGGAATAGACAACAGGTAGAAATTATAGGCAATTGGCAAGACACACCCAATAAAGGATGGGTTCTGCAGGTGGTGACCACAGACCACTTCTCAGTTCCGATGCTTTCTGGCTGATGTTTTGGTCACTTTTGAATGCTGGCGGTGCTTTCATTCTGGTGGTAGCATGAGACGGAGGTTACAACCAACACAAGCGGCTCAGGTAGTGCAGCTCATCCAGGATGGCACATCAATGCGAGCTGTGGCAAGAAGGTTTGCTGTGTCTGTCAGTGTAGTGTCCAGAGCATGGAGGCGCTACCAGGAGACAGTCCAGTACATCAGGAGACGTGGAGGAGGCCGTGGGAGGGCAACAACGCAGCAGCAGAACCGCTACCTCCTTCTTTGTGCAAGGAGGAACAGGAGGAGCACTGCCAGAGCCCTGCAAAATGAGCTCCAGCAGGCCACAAATGTGCATGTGTCTGCTCAAACAGTCAGAAACAGACTCCATGAGGGTGGTATGAGGGCCCGACGTTCACAGGTGCGGGTTGTCCTTACAGCCCGACACCGTGCAGGACGTTTGGCATTTGCCAGAGAACACCAAGATTGGCAATACGCCACTGGCGCCCTGCGCTCTTCACAGATGAAACCAGGTTCACACTGAGCACGTGACAGACGTAACAGAGTCTGGAGATGCCGCGGAGAACATTCTACTGCCTGCAATATCCTCCAGCATGACTGGTTTGGCAGTGGGTCAGTAATGGTGTGGGGTGGCATTTGTGCTCGCCAGAGGTAGCCTGACTGCCATTAGGTACCGAGATGAGATCCTCAGACCCCTTGTGAGACCATATGCTGGTGCAGTTGGCCCTGGGTTCCTCCTAATGCAAGACAATGCTAGACCTCATGTGGCTGGAGTGTGTCAGCAGTTCCTAAAACATGAAGGCATTGATGTTATGGACTGGCCGGCCCGTTCCCCAGACCTGAATCCAATTGAGCACATCAAGACCTCCTTGGGTTGATACATTTGATTTTCATTGATAATTTTTGTGTGATTTTGTTAACCGCACATTCACCTATGGAAAGAACAAAGTATTTATTAAAAATATTTCATTCATTCAGATCTACAATGTGTTACTTTAGTGTTCCCTTTATGTTTTTGAGCCGTGTATTTCAGCTTGCTAGCTTTAAGCACATTGAACCGGATAATTGAAGATTACAACGTTTGTTTCCACTTCCTGGATGTTTCGTTCTTTCCTGACTCCTCATTCAGCTGTGTTCTAAGAGGTCTGCAAGTACGAACAACTCAAATAAGTATGGAGACATAGGATCCGGTGCAACTTGCCTTGTCCCGCTGGTTGAATATTTCAATAGACCCTAAAATACGATTTTTATTTTTTAAACTGCATAACATGCTCTAAATAATTATTAAAGTATAATAAATCATGACCTGAAGACAGGCACTGAATGTGTGTAGCTTGATTATTATAAACACGTCATCTAAACATTGACTATGAACTAGAATGGATTAAAAGCATAAGGAACTTTTCATAACTAGAATTTTTTAAACAAAAAAAGCAGTTCATGTCACACTACCCTTGTAATGGTTTTTAAGCATGCTCTCTTTAAAAAGCATAGTTGTTAACTTATCCTGAAGTTTATAGGTTTCAGTCCCGAATGAATCTCTGTTACCTTAAATACCTAAATAAAAATTTTCAACTTTGTTGAAAAATACAGTTACATTACAAGTTTTCTTTCTGTTTAATTCCTTCCTCTTGTTCTTTGCAGCATCTTTGGAAAATAAATGAGAGCAGGTCAGATGCAGCTTCACTTCAGGTGGTAAATACAAAACAAATACAAAACCAGGACACTGCCAAGGGGTAATCAAATATATTCATTAATAAAAATAAAATAAAACTCTTATTTTTGTCTAACGGAATGTAAATAGAGGATGTAAATATAATTGCTAAGGATTAATGATAGTTATTTAAGACATAGTTGTTGGTTTTTTTAGTTGCTTTAAAAGTGTGGATATTTACTTTTCGATCCTCATTTTGGAATCCAGTCATTTCTGTTGGAACGTAAGAGATGTTGCCAACAAGTGAAGAATGAACATGTTGTTTTGTCCTACAGCTCTGAAAATATATGGATCTCCAAAAAAAACCAAACAAACAAACAAAAAAAAAACCTGCCTAAGGTTATGATGCCACTATGTTGTTTTTTACTACTGATTTCAGTCCAGACAGCCTTGAAGCAGAAACTCAGATCAGAAGATGTTTGAGGAAAAGAATCCTCCATAAGATCTAATCTATTTCAGTGTTGCCCTCAGGGAAATCGCATATAAATACTGTATACTTTATTGTGGCACAGCAGGACTTGTAGTTAAATATATTTTGTCTGGTTGTTTAAAATGGTTTTAAATTGTTGGAATTGTGATCTCAGAGGTGGTTGTTGGCTTTTCCAGTATTATTGTTATTTAAAGTTTCTCTGATCAATGAAAAAAGCCTGCAGTAGTTAAACCTAGGGATTCCGAGGAGAGAAGCTCAGGGGAGTGAAACCTGCCAACTGGTTTCACCTTTGGATGTGAAGAGCTTGAGGGACTTAAAAAGTTGAAGAGCTGCATAACGATTGCAGTGTGGAACTACCTGGGGAGACTAAATTAGCAGTTCCTTTTCAGGAGTGTAAATCCAAAAAAAGACAGTGTTTTGTCTTTAGTCCCTAAATAATCATCCCTTTTGTTTTACATTGGAAAATAAAAGCACAGCATGATGGCATGTTTTGGATCATCTGTACTGTGAGGCGCCATCCAATCAACTTTGCTGCATTTGGCTGAATCTGAGCAGAAAGTTAATCACTTTGCTCAAGACAAAACTTAAGGTAGAAAGACCCACAAACAAGCAACAACTGAAGACTGCAGTAAAGGCCTGGCAGAGCATCACAAAGGAGGAAACCCAGCGTTTGGTGATGTCCATGGCTTCCAGACTTCAGGCAGTCATTGCCTGCAAAGGATTCTCAACAAAATATTGAAAAGTAACATTTCGCTTAGGGTTATGTTTATTTGTCCAATTACTTTTGAGCCCCTGAATTGAGGAGCGTTTGTATAAATAGCTACAATTCCTGCATGTTTAATCATGTACTTTGTACTGTTCAACCCCTTGGATTAAACCTTAAAGTCTGCACTTCAATTACGTTGTAGTTGTTTCATTTCAAATCCAATGTGGTGGCGTGCAGAGCCCAAATCATGAAGATTGTGTAAAGCCTAACTTGGGTTTTGCCCATATGATGTGACCTAAAAATAGTTTTGAAGTTAAAGTGAAACTATTATTTGTTTTGTGCACACTATTATCATTGTGACAAATCACAAAACTGCACACAATGAAACATATCTTCTCCCTTTAACCCAGTGGCTCTCAATTATTTTCTGTCATCTATATTTTTATCTGTACAACCCACTGTATGAGTTGCTGCCACCAAGTGACTGGAGGCTTGTTATCATTCATGCATTACAGCAGTGTTACGATTATGTCTAGCGTGCCATATTCCATTGGAAGCCCCTCACATTCTCCCCCGGCACCTCATCGCGCCCCCCCAAGGGGGACCTGCCCCACTATTTGAGAAGCACTGCTTTAACCCAAACAGTTACATATATTGGTATCAGTTGATATCTGAATCAAAATTTAAGTCTTTAGACAATATCGGTATATCTGCAAAAAGTTAATATCGGACATCGCTATTATAAACATGGTTAATTCAAAATGTGGCTCTGTGGAGGGCTGGCCCTACCACTAGGATATGTTTTAGCTCCGCCTCTGTCAAAGATGAATAAATAAGAGCAGTGTGATGTTATTCCAGGTTGTTTGATTTAGCTCTTATGATGTTGAAATGCAACTCAGACTTAAGGCTGTTTCTTAACATCTATGTGAAGGGATACAGTTGTATTAATGTTTAAAAGAAAGTGAAGAACATATTGTATTGCTGATTCTGCATGCATTTTAAGGCCTAGACAACTCATAAAAACATCAAAAACATTATCTATGGACTACAGGGGTAACCTGGAGCTTATTCAAGTTCATTGTGAGCTCAAGTTTGACTTGTGAAAGTATGACTTTCTGGCACATATTTTATTCCCAAACAAACAACAATGCAAACATATTTAGCTATTAGCTTCTACTTAAAAAGGCAGCAAAGTGAGGTGTGTATTGTTTAGCAGAAGAGTTGCTTTCAGTGATCATGAGATGCGCTCACAGTAACTTCTGTGAAACCACAGTCTCTGAAAAAGGTCACGACTTCGTGAAGGAGAATGGCCTTGAGGTTAAGAGGTCAAACCTCACTGAGACACACACAAGTCCAGTAACGGTTGACTGCTGTTGGACATTATTGACTGAACCTGTTCTGAGGCAGACCAAATAGATCATCCTGATGTCAGTGCTGTCCACTACAGCCACCGTCGCTGCTGTCCCTCCATGTCTGCTGCAGCTGCTGGAGGTGCTCAAAGGCTCTCTGGGTGATGTTAAGAGCTGGGTGGACCTTCCTTAGGTCGGGCTCACCAATCAGTGACAAACCACACAAACCTAAGTAGGCATGGAGAGGGTCTGGTGTAGAGGAAGAGGGGAGACAGGAAGTATCAGGGATGTAGAGGACGAAAGTGGGTCAGAGCTTTTTATACAGGTGATTAGCTTCCAAGATAAATATGCAGCTTGTCATCTGACTGACAATTAACTTATCAATAAAGCAGGCAGTAACCTAACTTGACACAAAATCCTTTTTTGTTGCAGGATTGTTTTTTCCTTGCACTTTAAGTGGATTATGAATAATGCGTAATGTTGACCCCATGAACTCCTTCTCTCCCCAGGGACAAGTGTAAAAGCAGAAGAAGCCAGTAAATGGAGCAGTAATTGAATTATAATGAAATGACAAATGATTGGACATGTACGTCAAAACAACCAGGACTGAGACGGGTTCGAGGATGTTCCTGTAAGAATTGATCCAAGACAAACCTATGAAGAGACAAAGACTAATTTTCAGTTTCCTTACAACCAATTAAAGATTCCCTGCTCCAGTGACACCTGTTAAGTACCTAAAGTGTACTGTATAACATTCAAACAGAAATTGAGTTTGTTATGCAGTGCAATCTCTATGACCATTTTCAATAGTGAGATCTACTGCATGTTTTTGTGCTCATTTCGAGCTGCAGCCATGTTGCTACTTCTGCTGCACAGCTGGTAACGACAAAATTACGTCAAAAGTTAACGGCACAGACACACGTAGGGCTGTAACTTCTTAGTAAGCTTTAAACTGATGCAAATACTTCACCTTAGACCCAGATTTCATTCAAGCCTATCAGCAAAAGAAAACAGTGACACTGTGTGGGTGGCGCTTTGGCCCAGAGGCAATGTCTCTGTCATTGGTGTGGAACCCCAGGGTTCACCTGCTAGGCAAGTTCCAATCCCAGTTAGGGCGGTTGGTACCTTCCAGTGGACTCACCACCTGCAGGAAGGTTTAGGTACGGTGCAATGTGATTTGGGTGGCGACTGCTGCCCCCGCAACCTGAAACCTTTCGGAGCCAAGTCCACTTCCTTAACCACTAAGCTGCCCCAAATTAGGTCTTTGTATGCACAAAAGTAACAAATGTTGAAATGTGTTTTGACTGGCATTTTGATTATCAAGGTCATGTCTTGAATGACATCATGCATTTTTCAAACTTATTAATAAAAAAAGAAAAAAAAACATTATCATCACCAGTTACTACTGAAAGCACTGTACCAAACTACATTATATGTGGTGGTTTGGTGGACACATTTTTCTGGTATCATTTGTATGTGAATGCCAAACTATTTTATTGGGCTTTTATATCTGATGTAAAATATATTTATATGTTATATATATGTACTGTATATATACATGTATATATACAGTACATATATATAACATATAAATATATTTTACATCAGATATAAAAGCCCAATAAAATAGTTTGGCATTCACATACAAATGATACCAGAAAAATGTGTCCACCAAACCACCACATATAATGTACACACTGACAATGAAAACAACATGTTTCAAACCAACGGCAAAAATCCTTGTGGTTTCACATTTAAGTGTAAGTTTACATGTAAGTTTTATGTTTGAGTTCTTAAGCCATCAACATGACCCAAAATTTTAGAAATGTTGAAACTGAATTGGATTTCTCTTCATTTTTTGTAAAAAGATATTGGGCTATTTTTTGTCTTTGTTGTCTTTTGTTCTCTGCTATTGTTTTCCCTCTGTCTTCTTTGACTAGTTTCCTGTTAGTATCTGCCTGCGAAAAGGCTGTCGTAGTACCTGGAGGTTACAGTATCTGCGCTCATTCGCTCCTTTTATTCCCTGTATCACTTTTGTTTTGTACTGTATAAATGTGACTCAGTCAGGGCAGCGTCTGCTGTGCCTCATTGTTTCATGCTGCCCGTCTTCGCAGTCATGTCTCTGTAACATGAGCACCTCATCTCCTGTGTCTTTGGGCGACTGATGCACAGTCATCTCATCAATTACCCATCACACCAGCAAGAACACAGGCACACACACAGAGTGGAAGTTTAGGGTTACAAAAACTTTTCCATTCAATCCAAAATGCCAACCTTGTCTCCACCCAGACCTCTGTTCACCTGTGGAGGGCAGGATTAAAACTTGTCTTTTCAGAGAGACAAAGAAGCTGATACTACTCAGTTTCAGTTTCTTTGTTCACCTAAAGGGAGCCCTTGGAAGCCTCTGTCTTTCTGGTAGTTAGCTTTTATTAAATATTTATTGATACTTCCAATTCTGCAAACAACGTCATTTACCTGGATGGCTATCGGGCCATTTTGCAAATCCCCCCACCAGCCAATCCTGTGTGGACAGGATGAAGCTCCTGTTCTTGTCAAAGTTTGTGTACTGGAACACATTTAACAGCTGTGCAGGATAACGACAACAGAGGAAAAGGATTGAATTGAATTAACAGTCAGTCAGTCAACAGTTGACTTTTCAGTCAACAGAAAAGCTAATCAGTCAGTTGCACAGCATTGGGACATTGGCTTTGTACCTCTAGTGTAGCTCCGACCCAGAAGGAGTAGCACGTGTCCACAGGCTTATTGGGGCGTCCATGGAAGCCGTTCTGCTGCCTCATGACGCACCAGCGTCGTATTCTGTCCAGCTCCCGCTGACTCAGCGCCTCCTCCAGGCGACCCATCAGACACAGAGAGGCTATGGCACAGTACGTCCAGCCACCTGTACACACAGACAGGACCGTGCATCATGCCTGCTGTGCTAATTTGAACTGTCTATTCTTTTATATAGAATCACAATTAATACATTTAAATCGGCGATAGTTTCTTATAAAAGCCAAAACAATACCAAACGAAAACATAAAAACAATGCAGTGCAATTTTAGCATGGGATTGTTTACTCCCATTCCTAACCCAGCTAGAAGATGTAAGCCAATCTAAACCCTGCCTATTCAAATAGTGGCTGGAGGGCCACAGGCAGCCCAGATACAACCTCCGAGTGACCCAATCTGTGGTCATTTAAAAAAACCCACAGAAATAGATTTGACGATTAAAGAAAAATCACTACAGTAGAACAGAATTTGGATATAACACTGTAGCTTCGAAACATGTATCCCACAATGAATCACCGCTTGTTTTTGCCACAAACTCCTGTGTCCCAACAGATGTTTATTTGCAAGGGGCGTAGTGAGGTATTTAGATAATTTCCATGGAAATTGATAACTATTGGGGAATAATAAGCATCTACAGTTTCTCTGTAATCAGACCTTGGAGTACTGCAGTACTTCTCATATAGAGAGGCAGGCCCCACTGGGGCTCCCAATAGAATATGGGAACATTAGTGTACCACGACTGTAATGCTTGAATGATAACAAGCTTCCAGTCACTAGATGGGAGCAACTCATACAGTGGTTTGTACAGATAAAAATATAGATGTTAATGTAGATATCAGATTCTCAATAGTATTTCAAAATGTGAGTGTGTGTGTGAGGGAGGGTTAAACCATTTCTGGTAGAAAATAATTGAGAACCACTGGATTACTAGATTAGAGCAAAGAACTGAGTGTCACTGAAGCCTTTAATCAAAAAAATTAAAGGACTCATCACTTCACGCACTTACATGAATTACATGTAAGTGCATTATTTGAAATACATATACAAATAGAAGACAATGCTCTTTGCAGTACTTCAGAGTCTGTTCTAGAGGTTCTGAATCATTCTAATTTGTGTGGAAAGACATTTATATGAGCAATTAATCTGATGGATTATAATGGCTAATCCCTTAAACCATTTACTTGCAACAGCCCGCTTGCCCTCTAGAATCAACCTACTAACAAACATTTTAAATCTGTTGTTGTTCTCTTTTATTTAAAAAACAACAACAACAACAACCTTGAAATTTATCAAAAATATTACATTTGATTCCTTCAGCTGTGACTTGACGTAGCACAGTTCTAATGTGATGAAGGTTGAGAAACTATTTATTACTTTCCATAATGACACAGCAGATCATACTCACCATGAGACTCTCGTCCTGCTCCCTGTCCAAATCCATTGTCGTAGGTCTGTGAAAAAAAACAGAAAACAGTCCAAGACGGAGCTAATGAATCAAACAATAAAAGGACAATTTAAGTAAACTGGCTGTAAAAACAGACACACAGCAAGAAAACAAAGTAAATTCAGTAGTTTCTATTTGCCAGAGATTAAGGATGGGATCCATTCTAACAGTATAGATTTTCTCTCACTGTTTTGTGTGAAAAAACACATGGCTATTCAGAAAGTCATTATTTAAATTTAATTTAAAAAAAAAGAATGAACTTTGTGTCTTTCTATATTTGTCTGACTTGTTTATCATTATTGGTAGAAAGAAAAACACTGATGCTGATGGTGATGCTGCGGTGCCCAGACCTCTCCATTTCTTACAAACAAGATATTTCTACACACGGTGTTACATTCTGAACATGGGTAGTTCATTCTCCTGTGGTTCACACCGTGTGGAGGCAGTAGGTGTGTTCTAAGTGACAACCCAGTGTGACTGCAGTCAGAAAGACAGTTCATCTCTAGGTGGCTCAGACCTTACTCACCAAACTTCCTCTGATGTAGTCAATGGCCTTCTCGATGTCCATACCTGACCAGTCATCCAGTATATAACAGATACTGGCTGCACAGTAAATGAAGCGAATGTCATTTTCACTGCCTTCTGGCACTGCATAGAAACTGGAACCACAGAGAGTAAAAAAAACACACAGTTTCAATCACAACAGGGAAGAGGTTATTTAGAACTGGTAACATTTGAATCCTAACATCTAGTAAATCAGAAAATCTTCAGTCTTCAATCTTCAAAGTTTCATTGATTGCATTTTTGTCTTAAAATAATATAATATGACACACCAGTGGTTTAATACAATGGGAACCTGTGTCTTTTCTCATGCTCCACTTTTTAACCATAGGCTATAAAGTGACCGCTCCGTCCATGTCTCATTAAAAGTCTATGATTACTGACCTGCCGTCCTCCAGCTGTAGCGCTCTGAGACCGGCCAGACAGGCCTTTTTGTTGACTCTGCTCAGGTCATCTCCCAGGATGAGCAGTGAGCACAGCCCAGTGTAGGTCATAGCCACATGGCCACTGTCGTATGGATGAAAAACACCTGGACCCTGAACAATACAAAAGGAGGCCGAATCAAACACAGCAAGCGAAGACTTTGAACAAACACAAATGTGGCACAGCTACAGACCCAGGGGAAAAATTCAGTTGGGCAAAACACTTCTACACAAACACAATAGAAGCCTAAATAACAATTGACAATCAATACCTTCATGCTGTAAGGAATTCCAATATGTGACGAGCCTCTAAAACCACATCGACTGAGGTTGGATTCTATTAAAAAAGAGAACAGATAAACAGCAGGAGGAGAAACAAAGTTCTTTGCGGTTTTCTAAGAAAAAGCAGCAATCTGTGTCACATTTATCAAAAGCTGAGTGATTCTACTGACCTTCTGTAAAAACCTATCAATAAGAATGACTAAATAGACCACAAAGTATGCTGGCGACATCTAGCGGTCACTAAAGGAAGCAGGACACGCAGCAAAAAAACGTATCCGATCAAACTATATTAATATTGCACGTTGACCTAAATAAGACGTATCTCAAAAATACTCAAATGAGAAACGTTATGAGAAATACATTACTTAATTATTGAAATTGTAGTAGTCGATGATAGAAGCAAGAACTGTTTTTTGGCAATGAATATTTAATTAGAATCAAAATCTTCACTCTAAATCAAAAACACAATAAAATGTCCAGTTGATATAACTCCAGATCAGACGTCTTTCTTAGTCATTCAATGTCAGAGAGATAAAACGCAGTTCAACGTATTTTTTTTTATCACTTCAGCATTAATTTTCTTGCGTCAAAATCTCCTGTAAACTACACCAAAGGCTCCTTAATCCTGGTGACACATTAGGAAAAAATTCTGAAGAAGCATTTATATATGGGATATCTCTAAACCCTTCCAACACCAAACATATGGCAGCAGCAAAAATGAGCGCAATCAAGCTCAGCCATCACGTGATTTGTTGACGTCTTGAATAATTAACAAACTGGGCATCTGAACAGATGGCACAGAGTAGCTCATTAGGAAACAGAAAAGAAAACAACTCATTAAATATTTAGTGTCTGACTTTCTCTGAGGAACAGGGAGAACAGGCACAGTCCATGACCCAAACAGGTAGGTGCACATTCTGGTTGATCATTCTATGCATAAGTTACTTGGAGTAAACACTGTAATGACCGTAATACATGTGCAAACAAACCCACAAACAGGGTCACCAATCTTTTTGAAACCGAGAGCTACGTACTTCAAGGTCACTTAGTAATACGAAGAGCTACTTGTTTGATACAAACTTCCTGAACAAAGTAATAATAATTCGCTCTTCTTACCATCGTCGTTGCACACATTTGAATATCATTGCAGGTGTGATTGATCTTGTTGACTAATATTATTTTTAGAAAATACCTCAGGGGCACGTTAGGTAGTTCACGAGAGCTACTAGGGCACCAGGTTGGTGACCCCTGTTGTAGGTAATACAACTGTCAATTGAAGCTAAAGACTTGTCCAAAAGCATGCTAAAGTGTATATTTTAAGAAAAACAATATAAAAATAAATGACATTCAAAGACACATGTATAAATGTGTGTTTTGTACATACACAAGAGTTACATAAAATGTTTTTAACTTATGAAAATCTTTTTAAATTAAAAACCTAAAAAAGTAACATTCCTTTGATGGAAACCAAAAACAGTGAAAGTCACAATCAAATCCAGCATTAAAATGTATTGTTCTCGAAGGTGTCAATGTCTAAAAGGTGCAACTGATCATGCACAAAAAGAGACTTTTTGTTTTTTAAAATAATTACCCAGTTTGATAATAAATATTTAAAGGGCAAAGGTTTTTGTTTTGTTTTTCAATAGCACACTGCTTGATTGACAGTCAGGTGCAGGAAGTTCTCTCTGATGAAGTTATACTTACCATCCTCTGTAGGCATGACCTGTAGTGAGTAGATCCAATCAATCATTGTGTTCCTATCAATCACATCAAGGGCATCCAGAACATCGAGACCAGACAGAGCGAAAAATATGATTGTTAACCTGAAGAGAAGAATTCAGAGAAATTGGAACACAACTCTTACTTCTTATCAACTTACTGCAACATCATATCGATACTTTCTTTTAAAAGGAGATAGTCACAGCTAAGCAACGTGTCCTGACAATGAACATGTGCAACTGACCTGTCATTTTAGTCCTTATATTATTCCATGAGGTCATTTTGAGGTTTGTGAAATACGAAGAACAACATCTGCCACCATCTACTGCATGTTATGGATTTATACCTTATCAATTATTGACAAGTAGTATGGTTATTTTACATAATGCCTGGTTCCAACCATAGGCAATACCGATCGTGGATGCCATGTATAGTGCACTTATAAATCAAAACATGTAATAATGTAATGCCCAGTTAAAGTATATGAGCTGCCCAGAGTTTTATCAAGACTTTGAATGAGACTTTAACAAGTCCGTCTGGGCGTCGCCGTAATTAAGTTTCCTGTTTTATTCAAGTCCCAACTTTACTGTTATAGCTTGCGCTAACTTCAACACTAAGCTAAAGTGGCAGTAGCTTCCATTAAAAACTGATGGTGAACCACAGTTAGCTCTGATGCTAACCAGCTTTCCACACAAACCAAAGCCGCTACCTTAATATCGTTGCATTTACCTGGTCGTTTCCAGTGAGGCATATCTCTCAGGTAACACCTGCAGTGTTCTCCGGAAGAAACGAACATGTCGATCTCTTAAAAAGTCTATTTGCTCAAATTCTTCTAAGTGACTCTCCTCTTCCGCCATCTTTGAACCCGCACCTATGAGAAATCACTTCCGGTGCGCTTGCTTAAAAACCCATACAAAACAAGGACAATATTTTCTGTACTCTATTCTTTAGCTTTACGCTATTAATCTAACCCTAACCATATAACTCTTACCTAAATATTTAATTTATTTGTAAAACAAAAAAGAAATATGTATACACAACTATATTGCACCCAAAAAAGATCTGGTAACTGAAAAGTAAGACTGATACAAAGGATCTGATGGATTTGTTTTTGCAAGCAAATATTGGCATTGAAACCCCATTTGGTGCCAACATTGTTCTGCAATCCTGCATTTATTAAAAAGTGCTTGCCTTAAATGCTATAATAAAATATGTGTGTATATATATATTGTGGATAAACATATAACCAGCTTGATATATATATTCATGTTTAAGGAATTATAAAGGTGTGCTAAAACATATAACCAGCTTGAACATAAAATACTGCTTAAAGCTGAAACTGAAAACATGCAGATGTAGAGAAAAGGAGCTGCAAGGTTGAGTTAAAACCAAGGTTTGTTGTGACAAGAGGAGTACTTGGTGTGATGGGAAACAGAAACTTTTAGAATACAATTTGACAATGGCTGGGTTCATAGTTAGAACACAAGGTCACAACAACAGCTGGGTGCGATAAGAACAGGATGAGAAACCAACGGTGTAGATGTAGTGGCCAAAAAGAATGTATGTGTGTGTGTAGAACAAATGAAGTCTGTATCGCTTGATATGTAACACCTGGATGTGTGTGTCAATAAAACGAGCCTGAGTTTGTGGAGAGAGCAGAATTCAGCAGTCGATCCCCTGACTCGCCGCTGGATCCTCCCTGTGCACAGGCGAACTCGAGCAACGACTTTTGTCTTTTCTTTATACTTTGTGAAAGTGACATATACAAGTGTCGAAGTTGATCGACTGACCGAGTTGCCCATAGAAATTTCAAAAGACGCGAAAGAATCCGGCAACCAATCAGCAATCAGCATTCACAAACAACCAATCCAGACAGCTTAATCGGAGACCGTTGAACAGTCGTCACAATTTGTGTAGTCTAATCACGAATGTAATTTTGAAAATCGCATCCATTTTGTCTCAGCGGGAGAAGGAGG